TTCCATTTTACTGTGCCCAAAGTCCATTTCAGGAGCATGCAAAATTAAATTTCCAGAGCTGAATGAACCAGATAGACAAGATGGTATGTATATTTTACCTATGGTGTTTCTCACTCCCATGTAATAAAATAAGCCTTGTTGCCTGGCAGAAGTAAAGGATGCTGTACTTTGAAGCACGAAGCTATTGAAGACTTGCCAGTTCTTACTGATTAATGAACTTGGAGGGTATGATTAGCTACCCTAATGACATTTAGATCAAAAAGAGGCAGGACTGAGAGCTTTTCTTCAGCTTCCAATTTACTCTTCTCTTTTGTAACCTGATATCTGCATGAGAACTTAATTGGAGTAGCTCTGCCAAGCTATATTAAGCATTTTGTATGTTCAGAATGAGGACTTCTCTAGAAACAAGGCAATTATACAATGCATAGATCCTTAAGGGACCCCGACCCTTAGAATCATCGCATTATCAAATGGACCTTTTAGTTATATATAAAATTATATTTCTTCTATGTTTTCAATTTCAACTCATACAATTTTCTAAATTAAGAAATTATATTTTAAAACTAAGTGTATTAATACATTTATTGATCTGAGCCTTTATGAGGTCCTAACCACTAATGTTTTATAAAAGGAACTGAACAAATGTTTCAATCTGGGGTGCCTAATATGGTAACTAAGAGAGAACTTCCTTATTATCCACCAGACTCTTTGAAATTACTGGTTTTTCAATTACACTTTAATTAGCAACATTCTTTATTATTGTTTTAGACCAGAATATATATTTTTAATTCAAAAATTAAGTTGGGACTTCACATTTACTCTTGAAAATAAATGGTTGTGTATCTTGTAGAGCGTCTACAGGAGTTCAATATGCTTTAGCTGATATGTACATCTGCCTGTGGGGTTTGAGCATCTGTTTTGCCTTGGATGTGCCTTGTGTGAGTTCCTTGGAGTTATTCTTAGTGTACTTTGTGTCTGGAATTGGCACTCAAATCTTACTTTTTCTTGTACTCACATTCTTGGGAAGTTAACTTCGAATCTCATCAGTTTTGTTTTTATAAAACTGATGCTGGAACAGAAACTATGGATCAAAAATAATGGTATTTCAGGTAGTCCTCATTTAGCGATTGCCTCGTTTAGTGACCATTTGCAGTTACGACAGTGATGAAAAAGTAACCTTGTGACCAATCCTCACATTTACAACCTTTGCAGGTCTATAAAGCAAAAGAAAGCTGAAGTAAGATAATAACACAGTTGTGGTTTCACTTAGCAACCACTCTGCTTAACAACTGAATTGCTGGTCCCAATTGTGGTTACTAAACAAGGACTACCTGTATATTTTGGTGCTCAATCCCCACCTCTGTCTTGGGAAAATTGGGTTCTTTGGTAAATTACTATTATTGTTTTTAGTTTCATTTACTAACAGTTTGATAAATGGATGTTTTGTCACTACTCATACAAAATATGACAACTATTCTTGAAAAGGATACTTCCCTGGTAAAGCTGGGGATGGCCCATAACACTCTCAAAGTCCTAAGTTTCCCAATTGTTCAAAAATTAGTGACCACTGGTTAAGAGTATTCAAAGGAAGTAGAAAAATTCATTAGGGTTGCAAAGAAATGACTGTTATGATTTCTTATATTTAAACCTCACACACTCTGCTAAGCCATGAATGGCTTGTTTTGTTTTATTATAACATATAAAGTTAAGTACTGTGATGTTTAGACTATGTTTATGGCTTACTATTTTGTGTAAACCAGGCAACATCTGGAATTCCTCAATTACAACTGTTGGGTTTATATTAATCTTAGCCATATAATTATATTTTAGTAATCTACAACCTTAGTTCTGTTGTGGGCTGGGGAAAAGTTTGAAATAATTTTTCCATGTTAGGAGGAAGAGGTTCATATGTAAGTATGCTAAATAAGTTGGCATGCCACTGATGCTGTTTTTCATAAAAATGAGAGGACTAATTAATGCCAAGTATCAGTAAGGTTAAATTCAGAAAATCTAAATGATACCACAGAGTACAAACAGGTGGTATACAAGACTAGAATATTCCCATTAAAATAATGTAGATTAAAAAGCATGCAGAATGTTAAGGCAAATATGTAGGCATCGAAAAGTAGTCTTCTTTAGAAACAATTTTAATCAAGTTAACATTTGTTTATGTTAAGGATTTGGTTCTTTATGGTATTAATTAATATGTTACCTAGAGAACATTTATTTTATGAGAAGTTGATTATCATGGCTGTTAATAAAACATCAACTGTGTTTTGAAACTGTAGAACAATTGCTGATCAGCTGTTCAAGTTTTTCTTAAATGTAAATAAGGTAGGTTGACAGGTATTCAAAATAGCTTGTATATCAATCTTTCCTTAGGTTCCAGATAAGTATAATTCTTGATCTCTTTCAGAATAAATGGCATGTGCAGAAATACAGATTAACTCATATTTTGCCTGTTCCTATACAGCTCCATTGGTTTCTTCCATCATCAAAACAGCAGAATATGCCAACATTTAAATGTAGAGTCTAGAAGACAAAGGTTGGGTTTAGGTTTCAGCTGTTTCTCAGGAAAACAAATTAACCTCAAAGAGCTGGTAGCACGAAATGTACAACCACTGTTACAGCTTACAAAGAATATACTTTTCTTTGCAAAGAATAGGCTAAGAAAAAATAAATTTTGAGAGGAACTTTCTGAATGGTAATGCAGTACACATTTTAATAGGTCTGCAACTTTTTAGTTCAAACACTGGAAATGTTGAGCATAATTTCAGAATTCTAGCAATACAAGGAACCATTCCTTTAATAGATGAATATTTACCCAATTAAAATGGTTTAAAGTATTATAGTCTTCATAGCACTGTGTTTGGAAAATGTTCTCTAAAGGAGACTGATCATAAAAGAGTGGCAGGAGCAAAACCAAAGCCAAATCATGGTAACAGCCCAATTAAAAGAGGTAGGAAGCTGATGCAGGACAGCCCTTGTAGGCAGGAATCAAGACATTCAGGTCACTCTCCACCAAGCAGACACCCATTCCATCAATGCATTCTGCTTAATCTCTTTCCAAACTTTACAACTCAGCACACCTGACCGACTGTACAGCTCCAAACATATCTTTACTGCTTTCCCTTCCCCCACTGAACACAACAACCCAGCCTGTTAGAATGAACACATATACCATATAGATTTATTAAAATGTATGCCTGAAATAATTCATTCTGTCAGATAATAAAAGGGAACTGGCATATTTTTCTATCAAGGCAATGAAGGATCACTTTGTACTTTATACACTGGCCTCCTATAGCAGCATTATGTTTTGAACATAGGACTCATCTATACTTTCAAAGAAAACTCAAGTGCCCAGTGTCAACAGGGTTGGGAAAACACAGCCAATGTTTAATGGGGCATGCACAGGCCTGTTAGACCTTAGGCTGTTCTTTTAATCATAAAGTCCAGAACAGATCATTAGAAAAGGGTAGCGTAAACAGGGCATGTCGGAAGAGGAGCACTGTTCTATCTGACACTCCCACTGCAACTTGTAAAGCTCATTTCCAAAACAGAGGCTTTCTTTACAGAGGCGAGTAATAGTGTGCAGGCCATATGCATGCCACATTTACCTATTTTCCAGCTTTTCCCAGAGTGGGAAGTCATAACTGGCACTGACTTCTTGACACATTTACAGATAATGAAAGAAACACTTAATAAGTGACAATATATTCATGTTATATTCATGTAGAGAATGTACAGGGGATGTACTTATGTGTGTGTATGTATTTGTATGTGTGTATGTATATATACACACACAGTGTGCATGTGTGTGTATGTGTGAAGAGAGAGGGAGAGAGAGAGAAGGAAGCAAAACAAACTTTACTGAAAGCCACAATTCGTCACACAAGTCCAAGTGTGCAGGTTTTGAACCACACTCTTATTTTTCTCAGGAAAGATATGAGCTTGAGGCTATACAAAACTATAAAAGCACAGCTAGAGCTGTTTGGAGCTGGAGTCTTAAGAATACAGGCAAGGATCAATAAACATGAGCACAGCAGTTATACCGAGCTTATGTAAGACAGGCTATCATACCAGTAAGACAAACAAGAATAAAAATAAATAAATACCACCACCTTATACCACCACCATGGGAAGGAAGAAACTGATTGATCAAGATCTTAGAGAAAAACCTCCAATTTCAGACACTGGATAAATCAAGGGCAAAAAGAAAAGAGAAAGCATCTTATTGATTAAGCTTTTGATTGCAGCTGAGAAAACAGCTTCAGATATAAAATTAAGGTCCAGACTATTTTGAAGTCAACTGATAGAACCACTAGATTTGCATTAGACAATTTTCTGTGAATTAGCATTTGGTATCACACATTATTTAAATTTATATTTTCAATATAACTGCAAGTGGTTTAAAACAAGAGTAAGTCAAGTTCTAATCATAAACAAAACAGAACCTCTTAAGATAACTTTAAGTCAAGATGTCTGTAATACTATAATGTGCTTCTGAAGTAAAAGAAAAGTCAAAAGAAAGTCCATTCTCTTGAGACAGAATGGATAGCTAAGGATTGAACCATCAAGAAATGGTAATTTAAGCCCAACTCAAACTCTTACTTACAGTTGTTACTGTGTGCAAATTCCTCTTGATGACTATGGAACCTAAGCTACTGATCAGTTAGCTAGCTTTATAGTATTTTACAATGAAAACAGGATAGGATGAGAAAAATGGCTTTCTACATACTTCGCTTAGGGTTGAGCACTCACTGCTGTGAATACTACCCTGCGTGATACTGCGGAAATACTTTTTTTCCTTCAATCTTCTCTGCAGGAAGAACATCTATCATGAGTGCTGGCCTGTTACCAAACTCAAACCTCAATTTTATTTTTCTGATGACACAATATAAGCAGCGTCCAAAATCAATCATGCAAGATATTTGAAGTGACTAGTAATAACTGTTATTTCTCAGTATAGAAAAAGATGAGAGATCAGAGTAACATACCATTTTTTATCCTGTTGGCTTGTTCCAGAATTCCGGGGAAGATTCTCTATTTCAACTAAGACTGGACCAGAAGGAACTGCTGCTACAGAAGGTATTGTACTCCAGTTCTTGAAAGACAAAAGATAAACTTGTATTAGTAGCAGACTTTACAATAAAACCTTGATTTAATGGACCATTCAGGATGAGAGGAGTTGTCCATTCTTTCTGAATGTCTGCAAATATGTATATATTATTGCAGATGGCATAACCTGCATCATTTGCATAATAATACCAAAAAGCCTATGTTGTAAATCTCTGTGAATAAAACAAATTTAACAGGGTTTTTTAGTACCTTCTGGTATACTTTGTTTTTTGTTTTGTGTTTTGATGCCATAGATATGTCTCCTATTTTGGGAGGGTGATCTCCATATGGAAAGTTTGTCCACAGCATCCAAGTCCAGTAAATGGGGTCTGTTAAACTGAAGTTTCACCCCACTTTAAAAAGCACACTATTTCTACAGACTGAAGGAATGAAAAGAATTTTCCAAGAATGAATATTGTATCTCAAAACAAAAAGCATTCACTACTTATTTGTGTTTTAATGGGGGGGGGGGATTTATATTTTTATTGTTTTTATTGTCTTGTTTTTTAATTGTAAGCTGCCCAGAGCCCCCCTCTGGGGGAGATGGGTGGCATATAAATTTAATAATAAATAAATAAAATAAATACTTGAGGGATACATTTCTCCTACTTCAATAGCATCTAAAGATATTAGCAGTAGTTTTGCCTTTACTATTTAGAGAAGTAGCTCTCTGTCCAAGAATACAGGTGAAGAAAAAGCTGTTTCAGTCCACAAATGCTTGTTTTAAATTTAACTCCTAAAGGCATTTTAACCAAATGTTCCCACATGACATTTAGTAGGTATAGCATACAGAAACTATAACTTAATTTTGAAGTTAAATAAACCATAGTTAAATAAACTTTTTAGACAGACTTACTTGCTGTGGTCCATTATTTTGACTGAAAACATTATCTGGAAGGCTGAAAGAAAAATTCAACAGTTTAATTTCCCAAAGACTGAACTGTTATCTGAAGACTTATCTGCTCTCAGATTCAAGAAGACCAGGGTTAGGGTCTATTTCTAGAAGTATTCAAGGAGATGTTGGAGATATGTCAATTGGATTTCTGCACTGATTAGATGACTGAATGGCTCCTTTCAATTCTATGATTCTAAGGCACTTCAGTGAGTAGTTTATAGGAAACTAAGACTGCAGGATGTTACACAGGTAGTTCTATTAACAGCATCATATCCTCTTCCAATTTCTTCCCTCTGTAAATTACAACATGTCCATTTTTAATACATGAACATTCAAAGTCCCATGAGTTTAAAATGCTTGGATAGTTTCCTTCTTCCATTAAAATTCTTACAAAGATTTCTAGGCTCTTTTGAGATGGCAGATTTCAAAAAGACCATCAGCATTAGGAATATTCCAAGAAAGCTAGGGGGGAAAAAAGCATTTTCCACTCATAATTTCATCTGAAGGATTCCAAAAAGATAAAATCATGGAGTAAGATTAACTGTAGAATAACATGAATAATTGAATATCTTACCTAATTCCTTCAGATACACTAGGATTACCTATAATAAAATACAAAACAAAAACATTATTGAGTTTGTACAATGTATCAAACAGACAATTTTTTTTTAACCAAACCATTGCAAAATATTATGAGTGATACTTTAAAAATATTAAAAACCTGAAATTTGGGGAAAAGTGACAATATACAGTTTGCTGTATAGCACTATGTAATCTATCATCTTACTCAGATATTGCCAATAACTAAGGAGATACAACTTGGAATAGCTGCTGAGGAAAATATAATCTATTAACAATATTACTGGCCATGATTCAAAAAATTATGATAGCAGTTACATAATCCAAGGAAGGATATGTCTTGTTTCTTCCATCTAAAATACCCAGCAAGTTGTTTCAAAACTGGCATGGAGATCAGAAGTTAAAAGAAAATTTAGTAATTTCTACTGAGGTAGCATGAGTAAGGAAAGCTGTGCCTTAAAAATAAAAGCCTGGTTACCTCTCATTTGTAGTGTTCTCCTTGAGTATCGTTTACTAGGTCTTCTCTCAAAAGAGGCTGATCTTCTGGCTTTATTAGTCTTTGTAGTCTGGTACTCTGTTTTCCCGCTAGATGAGGGATGCAATGAACAACAAGAAAAAAAAAAGATTTATATAGCTAAGTTGCTCCAACATAATTATTAACACATAATTATCCTTGCATGTATATTTAAGCCAGCCATGAATTACTACTAGATTTCATAAGTATATTAAACAGTAGAGCCTTAAAAACTATTAAGAAGTATTTTGGACCTCGGACCAAGCATACAACCCCCATGCTATTCATTTTTCAGGTTTACATGCCAGCTTGAGAAAGTTGCCACCATGCCAGTCAGGCCAAAAATAATTTAAGTTTTGTAGCAAAATTAAAAACAATTGCAGATGCTTGGCTTTGCACAGAATCATGGAGTTTGAAGGGATTAATTAAATTATCTAATCCAGTCCCATGTAAAGTGCAGGAAATCACATTACAGCATCCCTGACAAATGTCTATACAGGTTTTGCTTGAAGACATCCAGAAAGAGCAAAACCACTCCCTCCCAAATAAATCGTTTACCCTGTTAATCCACTTCCGCAGTCCACATTTTTAAATGATGTGCTCATTTAAAGATGTTGAAATAGGCTGGGATTAGACCTCCCACCTTCAGGAAGCACGGCTGCAATGTGGAAATGCTGTCTGAGCCAGCAATATATCTGAAAAATTATGAGGGAGGTGTAGCTTGTACATTTTCCATTGATGTGCTAGTCACAACTTGTTGGAGATTGGAAAATGGCCAATTATACCCAGATGAGGTTCAGTAATGTGCTCCATCCAGTACTTCCTTTGAAAGGCATCTGGCAATTTACTTGGTTCAAAAGGCAGTAGCTGGACAGCTGACAGAAGGCCCATTGTAATAGATCAGTACTGTGCTAACTTCACCAATTCCCATTCAAAATGCTGTTCTTAAAGGAAAATTGAAAACAGTTAAGGATATATACCTATACTCAGTAATAAAATCTTACCGCTGGTAGACTATAAGCATACACCAAAACAATGTTTCCATTTTAACTACAATAAGAGAAAAAGTTTTCTAATAATATTCTGTAAGAGTCAATTCCAAAAAGGCAAAGATCTTAAAAAATTTCATATGCAAAAGTCTACAATGTTTCTTTTCTGCCAGTAAGAATCTGGAGTAAGTAGCCCATGTAATCAAGCCCATTTATTTCCTTTCTATTATTTGAGAAACAAGCAAAAGGGAAATACTGCTAACCTGTATCTGAATCGGGACCCCAGACGAATGAAGCTTGATCGACTGGAGCCTTTTTGAACAGGTCCACGGAGGCGGAAGAAAGCATGGTGCTCTACGGCACACTTCCACAAATGTTTGCAGGCCTTTGGATGGTCCAACCTGAAGACAAAAGTGTGCTCCTGCTCTTTACCCTTCAAGAAAGATAAACACCACAGAAACGCTGTGGAATGGAAGGCACAGAAACACTGCCTTAAGGCAAGAACGATACTATTCACTGAAGAAAGAGACGGTTTGTTCTGAGCACATGTCCAAAGCAATTCAAGAGATGTCTACTAACATTACAAAAGACTGAAGAGAGTATTTACTGATTTTTAAAAAAATGTTCTCTTTGATATTTTATAAGACTGATAGTGCAACAGGTTCCTTTTGTTGTTTTGACACAGGATAATGGATTCCCTTCTTGTTTGAGCAGCATGAACAAAAATAATTGCAATTGTTATGCTTTGATGTAGAACACTCGTTGCTTAAAATGAACAACTGTCCCAATCATTTTAAAAATGCCAAGCTACCACAGTTTGAATAATTTGCTCAGCTCTGCTCGTATGGTCCAGCTATGTCATTGTCTTCAAAAAGTGCAGTATATAGTTGGCATATTCAACTTTCAATATGCCAACTATAAGATTATTCAATATGCCAGCAAGTTTAGGTGAGCCTTTCACTAGTGTGAGAGAAGTAGGGATTTTATTTGCAAAGCTGACTGAATTGTTAGGAGAAAGACTGTCTTTATCAAGAATTCTAAATTAATCTGGTACCTACAGTGAGAGTTTGACACAATCTAATAAAATGCTTTTGTATTTTACCCAGAGGTTTAAACAACCTGGCTAAAGCATGCTCATTTGAACACTGGAGTATCAGTGTTTAACAGCTTTGTTTTCCATGGCCAATTATCTATTCTCATGGTTTTCGTCACATCTGGAGGAAATGGTGTTTGCATTCTTTTTAAAGATTTTTTATCCCGCCTTTTATCATTTTTTATAAATAATTCAAGGTGGCGAGCATACCTAATACTCCTTCCTCCTCCTTCTTTCCCTACAACAACAACCCTGAGGTTGAGGTGAGTTGGGCTGAGAGAGAGTGACTGGCGCAAAGTCACCCAGCCAGCTTTCATAGCTAAGGCGGGACTAGAACTCATAGTCTCCTGGATTCTAGCCTCGTGCCTTCACCACTAGACCAAACTGGCTGTTTATAATATGGATAACGATCCATCACACACTTTTATTATAGGTGCACATACAGTTATAAATATTTTGCAAAGGAATACAAAGCAATTTCAAATACTTCCAAACATATCATTACCACCAACTCATGAACCGTCCATAGTTAAGCTTAGCAATAGGATTCTAGTTTTGTCCACAATGTAGAAGACAACTTTAATAAGCTTAGAAAGAAAAAGTAAAAAGAATCATTTCTGGCCTCTTCTGAAGAAAAACTAGGGTGTGCCTGCATCCATACGTTTGTTTTTACGTCCTGCCTTTTCTCTTGAGAGCTCAGAGTAGCATCCATGGGGATTACCCTAATTTCATCTGTATATCAATTCTATGAGGTAGATTGAGTTAAGACTGAGTGCTTGGCCAAATGTAACATAGCAAACTCAAGTTAAGTGAGGGCTTTTTTCTGCATCTTCCCAATCCAAGTCCAACACCTTAACCACTACACTCTGCAGACTTTCTGCATCACTATTTAGCCAGTACTTATGGCTTAATATAATGTATCAATGCAGACATAATAGAGCTATTCTAGATTTTCTATGAAAACTGAATGAATCATTAGTTCATTTTATTTATTAAGTCCTTTATGAAATAATTTTCCTAAGCACTGTACAGGACAGTTTAAATAGTTAAAATACAATACACTTGCACATTATAAAACAGATAAACATGCTAACCTAGTATAAAATAAAACAAATATTAAACTAAAATATCAATAGGCATAACAATTAAAACCCTGCTAGAGGAAATAAAATGAATAATAAATTACTTTAAAAACCTGAAATGTTTAAAATAAATAGAGATGTGTGTACCATACACATGCTTCCTTTGGAAAATGTTCCAAGAACAAGGGGCCAACACCAAAAATCCCTCTCTTGTCATCAGTCTCCAATCCTCAGAATGAGGCAATATTTAAAAAAGCTTTCTATGGATGAACCTTAGATACAGTCAAATATGAGAACAAATGATCTGAGATCCTGATTCATGGAATTTTGACCTTACATTCCAGAGTAGAAATTCCTCAGCACTACCTTCTGATAATGTTTGTCTAAGTAAAAGTGGAACTACTATAAAACTGCTCCATCCAACTTTGACAGTCACTCCAGAAAGATACTAGGTTGGACTGCACTGAAAGTCACTGAAATGTCATATAGAATTAACATGGCATTTTCTGAAAGATTCATTCCATGACATCTAGCCCAGACACTCACAAAAAAGTAAAAATTCTTCAGAAAAATAACAATTAAATTCACATGGAAGGTACACCATCATTGCAAGGGAGCTCCCAAAGAACAAAATAGTACATGAATTTCAAGTCAGCATGATATATGTTTCTTAGCTATAGCAAGGAATAAGGAACATACTTGGATTAACTTCTTCTGGTGAGAAGACAGAATCAAGAACTTCCTTTCTCTTCCCCAAAAGAAAACCCACCTTCAAACTCTGTGGTCAGCTGAGATGCAGAGACTGGGCCTTTTAAAAGGGAGAGCTACCCCTTCCCCTGGCAGTGTAGGAAATTCTTTGTCCCGCTCTCCACTCAGAAGAGGGAGCTAACCTATAGTGATGGCTCCATTGATCTAGTGACCAAAAAGAATACACACACTTTTGGCCTAACCTTAATGAGATACAATAAAATTAAGTTTGATTTCAGAGACATTACTTTCTATAAGACCAGATGAACAAGACTCTTTTCTTTTACCTGTTCATCATCTTCAACCACCACCAGTGTTAATTTATTCTTTTTGAAGTCCAACCTAGTAATCTTTGGCCTACAAAAGGAAAAATAGGTATATGTATTTTTACTACAATTTATTCATAAAGAATAAAAATAAATAAATTTGGAAAAATCTTTGTAACACCAACAGATATTATCTTGCATAGCGAATTAAAAAAAAAAATCTTAGAATTACAATTATAATACGCTTTAAATCTAAGTATCAATGTTAACTTTGATTAAAAGTCAACTATCAGATATGCTTCCCCCCTGCTTGGCCAGACATTTGAGTCACTCTTCAAGCCTCCCCAGAGGTTCCCATGGTCCTGGCATGATGACTTTGGGACTAGTCAGTACTTCCTTGGCAGTCCAGCCACAGATATATAAGTTATCCAACTTACCAAAAGAACAATCCAATCTTGGTATCTCCTTCAAATACAAGGACTCCTGTTGGTGTTAGTCCAAGGCTATAATCATTGCCATCTCTTGCCTAATGATAATTAAAATTAGGTTAAAATATTCCTTCAGTACGTAGAACAGGTCATCTTAATATAATCATTCTTTTATTATTATGATTTTGCAGCAAATGAGTCACATATATCTAAATTAACACATGACCTACCAAGTGAACCTTCTGTTCTACTAAACTCCCTATAAAACATTTCTCAACAGAACATTTAGGGATGATCTGTACTTTTCATAATGTTTTACACTTTGTTGTTACACTGAAGACTTACACAGCTATGCTGGAAAGAATGGAATTTTTAAAAAATGGGGGTGGGGGAGGAAACAATGTAAATATTACTTATACGATAGCTTTGTGATTAGTGCTTCCTTTAAAATTATTAATATTAGATTACCAGTTAGATTTTATTTCTTAGAAGAAAAACCCTACGGATTTCATCATATTTTCCATCAAAACACTACAATATTAAGTGTCAGTTTATACTAATATATTCATTGTGTGTACTGTGGGAGCCAGAAACAAATAAACGGCTTTTAGTCACAGCCAATTGTGTTAAATGATTAGGTTGTACTGTTATCACCAACAACTCTAATAATATTTAAAGACAGGTGGAATAATAAATCCCACCTTTTTTCTATTGGGATACATTGGCAAGAGCCTTAACTGGCAGTTGCATGGGTTTTCTCCTTTGTGCAACATCCCATCAAAACTACTCTGGAGAATCTCCTAAAATCCAGAGGTTTGTGCTGGGCCCGCGGGACAGATAATCTGATCTAGCAGTAGTATTATATCATGACAGACAGAATCAAAAACAATCCATTTTCTTACACCTGAATTATGTTTTTGCAATACTAACAATATAACCATTCCCCAAAAGACTGTAATTACAATCTTACCTTTACTATATGCATGTCTACTCCATACATTTCAAGCCATTTTGCTTTGTTCAAATAGTTTGTTTCTGCCTGAGCCGGTGTTTGCCCCCTGAAATAATATATGTAACACAAAAATAACAGCAGAATAATAAAATCCTTACAGAGAAAACTGACTATACATAAGAGGAGTTCAAAAGTGCCTAGGACAAACTAGAGCTCCAATTCTAATTCAATTTTAAATATGTTCCAGGGCCATATATGCTTATTTTATTTGGAAATGTAAGGACTGGGAAAATATTTCACTGCAAACTTAGTTTGCAAAGTTGTGGAAACCTACACCGTTGTTCTGATAAATTCGGAGATACTAAGCTTGTGGACTGGTATTCAGAAGACACCAGATGGTTTTGAGATGTGTTGGTCTTTGTTCCGTACAGAAACGTAAATGGCGTAAGATAGGAAAACAGCTTCTTTATCTGGTTTCTAAGTACAGAGAAAAACTACCCCAACTAATCCGCATTTTGAGAGACTCAGATTCTTGATCCCCATCCTGGGGAACCTTTGGTAAAAACTAAAAAGAAATTAAGAATAAAGCTAGCACACATACTACTGTGACATAAATGTTATCAAAAAGACATTATATTCTGTGTAATTGTTTTAAATGCTATTTGAAATAATAATTAACTCACTATGGTCCCTCTCTTGGGATCAATTACAGATCTACAAATTTTGAGGAAATCCCAGTTTAACCCAAACACTAAAACAATTCTCAGGAATATGCAATGATGGACAGAAAATAATGCATACAATTACAATTCACAGATTATATGGGAGGGACAAGTTGTGGACATTTACAATCCGGCACTTAGTTACCTGTATTCCTTCCACTTCTCAAAAATGGCCAGTTCCATTTCCTCAGTTTGGTTGGGCACAAATCTGAATTCGGACACTATCTCAGGGATGTGCTCAATAGGATCATAGTCCCCAAGTTCAGCTGCAAACAGCAGAGTATCTCAGTCACTCACTCAATAAAAACAGACTCTCTCATAAATTGGCTGGAACAGTTAATATCCAAAATGCTCAAGTAATGGAATTGTTCATTCTCTAGAGGCTTAAAACTCTTTATTAAGTTTTGGTGTTTTAGCTATCATGAAATGAGAGAGTATTGATAAATACATTTAAGGTCTCCTCCAATGTTATGCAAGTGGAATTCTGCTTGTACAATGGGAATGCTCCATATTCTTATTTCTCCTATTGTGATGGAATGGACTTATGAAGGCCAGGCTCAGGGAGATAAGCGTGTTCTTAGCCCCCAGCAGGAGCGTGGGAAGTTCAAGAAGATGAGGCTGGCACCTCCTTAAGGAAG